TAATAGTAATAACAATAATAATAATAATAATGTTGAAAAGTGAAATCATAATTGTTGCTGGGATATTTAAAAGCATTTGAATCTTTCCGGGACAGGAGCCAATGACAGCGTGTWCCAGCCAAGATGAGTTGTTCTGGATTCAGTCCACAAGCCTCAATCTATTAGATCAATTTATGACCTTGTTCAGTTACAGCTTTAGTGCCTATAAATTTGTTTATTTTAGATCTTAAATTGCCTTGTACATGTCATATAATGCATTTTGTTTATAGGCACCTGTCATGTCAGGAGTTTGTTGAGCCCAAAGTGCAGATGGATGACTCAGTAACTTGGGAACGACTTTTAATAATTAGAATAACAGGCTGACGTAGCAGCAAAAATATATCCAGAACAACATGGGGTCTCACAAGGAACAAACATGACGTGTTTGTGGAAACTAAAAACAGGTGAAAGGGGGCGGGGCAGGAGGTGGAACTGAACTGACGATGCAGGGATGACACGGGAAAACAAAAGACTGATCAAATCCTAAAATAATTTCAACATCTAATTGAGGTTGAAATTGCAAGTTTTATTTTCTTTTAAATGTTCATTTATGCTGAGTTTTATGTTTTTTCTGAACGAGTACAAAGGATTGTACCGTGTTGTGACCGCGGCTCTACTCTGATTCTCTGAGCAGGTCGAGAAGCTTCTCCATCGCTTCTGGTTCCTGTTCCTGCTTCTGACCCTTCTTCACCTGTACACGGAGACACAGACAAATGCAGAAAACAGAAATTACTTAATATTATGGCTTACGCTAGAGTACTGAAGTAAATACCCCCCCCCACCCCCACCCACACACACTGGAAGTGTCCAACAAAAGGAGTTTTATGACATTGAATATTGCACCCTGTGCTCACAGAGTTCGGCCAGAGGAGGCTAATATGCCCAGCTGTAAGACTTATTATTAAAAATGTTTGTTAAGGGTTTTTGCGGCTGGCGCTTATTTGCCTCATTGGCCATCAAAATGCTCTCAGCGTTGTCAGTGGTGCTGAACTGTGCAATTATGCAGCTAATGGACCTGTAAGGCTGGAAAACGCACGTCAGGCAGAACTCTGCGTGTCTGTGTGCTGTTACGGTGCACTCATAACCGTGTTTACGAATGTGGTTAAAGGGAGATGGCGTAAGCGGTTGTGGCTGTAGTGTGCAGTGACACTGAATGTATTTTCTTTTAGCCATTAAAACGTCTCGTTTACAGGAACTGATGTGAAGAACACAAAGAAAAAAAAAGAAATAAAAGGCTGCAGAGGTAACTCTTAATGAGCTCTGATTAGAGTGATGTGACTCAGTGTGCCATCAGGTTTCCTACTGTGTTCAGGAGGACTGCTGTGATTACTTCTCTCTTTAACAGTGCGTTCAGGGACTCATCAGCCACAGACAGATTAAAATAGCATTTGCCTTTACTGCATGGCTATATTTTGCTTTGATACACAATGCACTAAAGCTTTTTTCTTTTCTCTCCTCTCTGGTTCTCTTTGTTTTTCAGCGGTGGTACAAAAAAATCTAGTGATTCTAACATCTAAGTGGAGCAAATGCTAACGTCTTACAGCTAGTAGACAACAGTCAGAGGGAACTCAGATTAGAGAAGCAGGGAAGAATTCACCTTAGAGAGTCACACTAACAGCCACGTTCTCATTGAATGTATGCATTTCTGACAGAAACACATTATTTTATGCCTCAATTTATCAATTTCCTACAGGTTGGATTCATTGTAACGCGTGTTTAAAAAGATAACTTTAAAAGAAAAAGTATAACTTATTTAAAAAATTTCTAACCCTCCTGCAGTACCTCTGTGACTCCACTAGGGGCTGTGACTCCATTGTTGAAGACCTCTGTTCTAAACCAGTTCTAGTAGTTCAAGGAAACACTCTATCAGATACTTTTACATCTTGTTACTTTTGAGTGGAACATGTTGTGGGAAATGTCTATGCTGTCAGTGTTTTCTCAGCTGAACAATGTGTTGCTCTATGTAACTGAGTCACAGACCCTTTTATTGCATCCAGGCATTAAACAACTATAAACGCATAGTTTTGTTGCTCTGATTCCAAAATGGTATTTACTTTTTTTTCTGGAGAAACAAATGGTAAATGGCATGGACTTATATAGCACCTTATCAAATCCACTTGGACCCCAAGGCGCTTTACTTCAGGCATTCATCCACTCACACACACATTCACAAACAAGAAATACAGTTAGCACAAAAAGTAAGGAAACCTGTGTTTGGTAGATTATTTCTTTGTTGTAACAATGCCTCTTGGCAGTAAATCTCATACTGTTGGAAAGTCTGTTCATTTCCCTTTTAAATGGTGTCACATTTGTAAGGAACGTGCATTTGTGGGGTGAGCAGTAGAGCTGAGTATGTGGGTTGCGCACATTTAAAATTTGCCAAATATTCTCTGTCAAACAGCTTATTTTCCTGTTGCTGTTGACTCTTGTTTTGATCTTCTGGTACCCCCAGGTGCTGCCAATCAGGTGACCATTATAACATTTATTCCCAAGAAGCAGTGTTTCAAGAAAAAAAAATTGATTACTTAATGTGCTAAGTATATTTATGAGTCAGATTACACAGAAGAAGAATTATGGATTAGAAAGATTCAACAACCCTTGGCAGACACATTCCATTGGTAAAACCCATGTAGCAGCCACATTGTAGCTAACAGAGCAACATGATGGTTTTAGAAAATATAGTTTTCCAAACTGACTGCTGTCTACTGCAGGCAAGATACTGACAGCTTATGGCTACACCACACAACTATTCTAACAACTACAAAAAAAACCTATGCCCTTAATTAACTGCAAATAATTTTACCACGGGCTTCTTGCGGAGGTTTGGAGAGAGCTTCAGGCTGGTGACCCGGCCGCGGTCATCACCTACGATGARGATAGGATGGACTGGATTGAACTCGATGTGAGTCAGCTTGGCCTTCTTTTTGGACACCACCTGCTGCTGGCAGATTGCCTCATATTTGTCAACGTTGAGGTCAAAAACGTGAACCTGAAAGAGAAGAGTCAAAATGCATTTAAGTCTTATTTTAGACCTACAACAGGAACTGACATTTCTGTGCTGTAATCTATTTGCAACAAGTGAGGGTCTAAATCAAACAACCCATGGAGTACATAAAATATATTAAATACTAAAATGTAGTGTTCAGATTTTATCTTCAAAGCCTGATGATGCATAAAAACTCTCTAACACATGCATCAAACTTTCATCCAGCCACAGATAATAAGACATGTAAAATAGTTTCACAGTTTCTCGTTTTGCCAGTCTTCTCATGACAACCAACTTTCAAGTTAAAGAAATAATTTTTCAGTAATTTTGTTTTTTGGTTCGGAAAGAGCAATAGAGAATTAAATTGCTCATGTTTTTCTGTATTCTCTTCTTATTTTAAAGTCAAATGTTTGGACGCTTAGTGAAGTTTTTCCATTTTAAACTAATTTGTGATAAAACGTTTCCCTAAGAACTAAATGAAAAAAAGTTGTTAATAGAGTGTAAGGTTTAAAAAATGAATACTAAAGAGGTATCTTTCTAAATTTAATATATTTTACTTAATCTGTATATACTGTTTGTTCTAAATGCTACATAAAATATAATTTGGTAAAGGTCCTGTGTATTTCTATAAGAATTGTTTATTATTGAACATTTTGCCAGTAAAGACTGAGAAAGACTGGCCCTTGGCTTGGACCAAGTTTTGAATATTGCCCCCCCCCTGCTCTAACAATAAGGAGAAAAGAGGGATGCTCCCAGCATTATCAGGACTACATCTGCTCGCACACTCAGTTTTTATCTAAGCAGTTCCATTACGCTTGTAATTTTTTAGACATCTTTTCTCAAGTAAATGCCAGCCTTCAGACTAAATCCATTTAGACAATCTAACAATATCAAATAAAGCCATTGTCAGGTGCATCAGGCATCTTTTATTAGATGGCTGTGACTGGACAGCTGGGGTTCACACAGTCTAGGTTCATTAGAATCACACAAAGCGTCCTCATTTCTTACTAATCATCAAATCTCACTGGAGTAAGACTTTCTCTGACCTCTTGAGCCACAGCTACTGGCAGCAGTGGTCTAGCTGTTCGTACATAGGGGCTAATGTATTAGTCATGACTGATTGCAGTGACTCACAGAAGCACTTTGAACAGAGAGACAATTGACTGTACTGAATTTGTGTTTAGTTCTTATTAACATAAATTCACAGCCACACATACGATCCAACCTTTTGCTTCTAATCCAACACTTTAACTTTCAAATTTAAGTGTTATATTGTGTATATTATATCTATATCTACTTGACTCTAAAAAGTGAAGTAAATAAAGTAAAAATGGTTGCTTGTATGAATAATAGCTGCTTTATGACAGTATTTTGAAAAGGTTGCAGCCTTTCATAGTGTTTTTCTGAACTTCCCTGATTAAAACCGGCACACCCTGTGTGTTAATCTAATTATTTGGTAAGTTTTATTGGATAATAATCATCAACGTTTGCCGTTTTGTTTTAGTTAAATTGAAGCAGATGTGAACTCAGCAGTTCAGGACACTCAGCCAAGTGTGGGTTACTGTAGTGCTCAATACGTAAAACCCAGGAAATCACTTTATTGTAGCAATCATCATCATCTATTGGAGCTCACAGACAAGGATTTGAGACTGAAGAGGAATAACAGCATCCTGAAAAACACCAGGATCAGCTGAAAGCATCTGTTCTCTGTGCTTTAAAGCAATTAGACCTGGTTGTCTGAAGACTATAAAAGAACCTATTCTGGTCAGGTTACCCACTAACACTATACAGGTGCTGGTCATAAAATTAGAATATCATGAAAAAGTGGATTTATTTCAGTAATTCCATTTAAAAAGTGAAACTTATATATTATATTCATACATTACATACAAACTCATATATTTCAAATGTTTATTTCGTTTAATTTTGATGATTACAAATGACAACAAATGAAAATCTCAAATTCAGCATATCAGAAAATTAGAATCTTGTGAAAAGGTTCAAAATGGATGGCACCTGGTACCACACTCTAATCAGCTAATTAACTCAAACCACCTGCAAAGGCCTTTAAATGGTCTTTCAGTCTAGTTCTATAGGCTACACAATCATGGGGAAGACTGCTGACTTGACAGTTGTCCAAAAGACGACCATCGACACCTTGAACAAGGAGGGCAAGACACAAAAGGTCATCGCTAAAGAGGCTGGCTGTTCACAGAGCTCTGTGTCCAAGCACATTAATAGAGAGGCGAAGGGAAGGAAAAGATGTGGTCGAAAAAAATGTACAAGCAAGAGAGATAACCGCACCCTGGAGAGGATTGTGAAACAAAACCCATTGAAAAATGTGGGGGAGATTCACAAAGAGTGGACTGCAGCTGGAGTGAGTGCTTCAAGAACCACCACACACAGACGTATGAAAGACATGGGTTTCTGCTGTCGCATTCCTTGTGTCAAGCCACTCTTGAACCACAGACAGCGTCAGAAGCGTCTTGCCTGGGCTACAGAGAAACAGGACTGGACTGCTGGTGAGTGGTCCAAAGTCATGTTCTCTGATGAAAGTAAATTTTGCATTTCCTTTGGAAATCAAGGTCCCAGAGTCTGGAGGAAAAGAAGAGAGGCACTTCATCCACGTTGCTTGAAGTCCAGTGTAAAGTTTCCACAGTCAGTGATGGTTTGGGGTGCCATGTCATCTGCTGGTGTTGGTCCATTGTGTTTTCTGAGGTCCAGGGTCAACGCAGCCACATACCAGGAAGTTTTAGAGCACTTCATGCTTCCTGCTGCTGACCAACTTTTTGGAGATGCAGATTTCATTTTCCAACAGGACTTGGCACCTGCACACAGTGCCAAAGCTACCAGTACCTGGTTGAAGGACCATGGTATCCCTGTTCTTAATTGGCCAGCAAACTCTCCTGACCTTAACCCCATAGAAAATCTATGGGGTATTGTGAAGAAGAAGATGCAATACACCAGACCCAACAATTCAGAAGAGCTAAAAGCCACTATTAGAGCAACCTGGGCTATCATAACACCTGAGCAGTGCCACAGACTGATCGACTCCATGCCACGCCGCATTGCTGCAGTAATACAGGCCAAAGGAGCCCCAACTAAATACTGAGTGCTGTACATGCTCATACTTTTCATGTTCATACTTTTCAGTTGGCCAACATTTCTATAAATCCTTTGTTTTTATTGGTCTTCAGTAATATCCTAATTTTCTGATATGCTGAATTTGAGATTTTCATTTGTTGTCATTTGTAATCATCAAAATTAAACGAAATAAACATTTGAAATATATGAGTTGTAATGTATGAATATAATATACAAGTTTCACTTTTTAAATGGAATTACTGAAATAAATCTACTTTTTCATGATATTCTAATTTTGTGACCAGCACCTGTATGTTTCCACACTGAAAAGTGAGCCCAGCAGAAAACGATCTATGAAAACCGAGATTAACAAATCTTATTAAATGAGCTGGTGATAAATATACAGAAGACATCACATTGCCAGGCCACAATAAAATGTATATTCTTGTCTAATGTTGGTGGCCAAACCTTAAGCTGCAGCCTGACATCCCTCTAAACAAGAAGAACAAGAAGCACATCGACTCTAATTTCTCCTAAATACATTCAGTTCCACAACAACTGCAGCCTTTATCCTCCTTTACTTCCAGATACTTTGCTTTTTGCCACGCCAAAGTGTAATTAAGAAATTGTTAATAAGTCCTGCCTGGTTATAAAATGCTTCAATAAAAACTTACAAATTAAAAACATTCCACTGTGGTATCATTCAAAAAGACGAAGCCACCTTTAAACTGAATGATACATATTTTTTGTTATAGCTGTACACATGGCTATCATTTTTAAATATTAAAGAAGCTACGTCTAATTGTAATAAAGATTTATTACACCAGTGTAACTATAACTTGTATGAGAAGCTTACAGTGCATTTACTGACTGTCTGAATTGCATATGAATTGGTCTGTATTACAAAACAGAGGTGGATCCAAATGTGGCAAGAGGCAGGCTCTGTATGACTTTATTTAATAAGTGAAAAGCAAAGATCCATCCATCCATCTTRTTTACCCACTTAATGCTGTTCAAGGTTGCTGGTGCCTCCAGCAGTAAGGGGAATGGGCCAGAGGAAGAGACAATGTAAACTCCTCCCAGTTAAAACAGAAACCAGAGATCTCCTTGTTGTTGTGCAGAACGCACTGTTTCAGAAACACTGCTGATAACAACAGATCACACACCCAGATACCTCCCACAATGAACCTGTGGACTATGAACTGTGGACTACACACAGAGACAGGACGTGCACATTGTTCACGTGTTGCTCAGCAGCCGGGGTAAACTGGACGCTCAGTGTTTGTCAGCTGGATCTGTTAAACTCAGGATGAATTTGCTCCTGCTGTGTGTTCTGCTGTGCATCACCAGCTGCTCAGCGGACAAAGGTAACATCTTTTTTCTTTTACTGTCAAAATGTTTCTAACGATTATTTTACAATCCATAAATCTAAAGGGACGTGTTTTTTTTTATTCTAAAGTATCTTACTGCTGATGTTTGACTTTTTAAATTTGACAGAAATATATTTGAGAGAAAACCTTTTATTTTTAGGCATAAAGGTGTACGATGATTGACAGCTATTAATAATTAGTTTCTCGGTTCCTGGCAGGTGCAGCCAGGGCTCGTTCAGTGACTCTTCAGCCCTGGTTGGTGGGTCTGTCTGCTGTTGTTGGTTTCCTGTTTCTTGTCTTCGTTATCGTGATCATTAAAAGGCTTCTTAAAAAAGACAGGTTTGTTTACACATGRATAAGCACACATACGCACACAGTACCAGTACACTGAAACTTGACTACCATATCTGACAGCAACCATTCTAACTCTGAWTCTTTCTTTTTTTCAAGTTTGTATTTACAGTTTTAACCAAAGTGTCAGAGATTGTGTCATGTTTCTATAATATTTGCATGACTCTATGTGTCAATGTCTTCATGTTGCATAACGTCCAGCTTATCCAATGACTAATGGTACAATAATTATTATATTAACCTATCATAGATAGTAAATGCTTCCTTATTGCGTATCTTACTGCAACGCAGCTGAAGCTACAGCTTTATGGATTCTTTAATCATTATCTCAAATTTGTATGCATTCAGATTAAAACCATTTCTGGAGAACTCATGTCATCTATTTGATGAAAAAAAAGTCCTGCCCATTGCATTTTCTAGTACACTTTATTTACTGTACTGTTTGTACTTATAGATCTAACCAGCTTTGATTGGGAACATGTAATAAGCACATTGTTATTATCTCATTCAAGACCTTTCTGTGTTGCAGGAAGGATGAAGAGGGCTGGAATTATGATGATCTAAAGTCAGARGAAGGTGACTTTACAGAAACCATTATGTAGAAACCCACCTGCTTCGAGAACCACTCTACACACACGTCACAGTCATCAGATTAGTTGTGACGGTCACATCGGGGCTATTTTTGATGAAAAATCCTAATTTTACTGGTATACTGAACTTAACGAGAGCCATCAACAATGTCTTCTATCATCTTTAAAGTGAAAAGCTAAGGTTATTTGTGTTTTTCTTTATCTGTTTATTTCTGTTTCTTTTTTTAAGAAACATAAATGCTTTTTATTTAACATGGACAGACACTGTACATAGCTAAGATTATGAAAATTCTCCAGTGTCCTACTGTTTGTAGAAACAAAATGCTAATTTGCAACACTAGAATATTAAAATACATTTTTAAAAAGTGTTATTGTTATACCATTTCAAGGTCCACACTATACAGTATATAAATCACTTTTATTTTTTTGTCAGTCCAGAAACGTTAATACATTTTAAAGCCCTTCAGTGAGTCTGGACAACTTTTGCTCAAGACAACTTTACATGGTTTGAATAAAATTGGGATGAAATGAAGGGTAGTTTTTTTCATCTACAGTATCTCAAATAAAGAACATTTTTATTGTTCTGGGTAGATGTAGTTTATGAGGTTTAAACAATGTTAATAAATAAATAATTTGGGGAAGTCTGTGCGCAAAAAAAAAAGAAAAAAGTAAAAGCTAAGAGACAACATCTAAGAGAGAGAGAGCAAACATGGGTTTGAAGCCTGATAACTGGTGGACAGAACCAGGCTTCTCATTATGTCATTCAGACACTTTATCCCATAAACAATCAGCTCAGATGGAGAGACGAGGACAGAGAGAATTTGTTTGCAACACACAGCAGTGTGTCATTCTCACACCTCAGCCTGCCAGGCAATTCATTATCCTTATAAACACATGTGCATGTTTGTGCACAAACTCACATGCTCACACAAACACACTGTTGTTTCTTTGACATTTTGCACAGTGGTTGAAGAAGCAGACAGTAAATCCACATCAAGGAGCAAACAGCTCACGTTGAGTCACTCCAGCTTTTCTAGATCCATGTAAAAAAACAAAAACAAATGACAAATGTTTGCAGCAAAGATGTTGTCCTACGCTGATGAACATCATGCAACAATCGTGAGAATGTTGTGACCTTTGTCGTGCTTGATAATCTGACCCTAATAAAATGTGAAAGACAGTTCAGCCTTGATAAAGTTTGGCTGATAGAATTAAAAAAATACAAAACAGAAAAAAAACCTTTATGCAACTATACACAATATTATATTTAGTTATGTAAAATTAGAAAAAATTAGAAAAAAACTGCAACTCTGTTATGTTGTTTGGCTATATTTGATTTCCAGTTCATCTTCATCCGGCTGTAACTTCAAACCATGTTTTATTCACTGTAACCCTGAAGTGAGAAAATATATATTTTTATTTTCCTTTATGCCTTAACAAGTCATTATAGTTTTATAGTAATGCTTTATCAGTACAACGTTCATTGATTTATAATCTGTCTAGAACAGGGATGGGCAACTGGAGGCCTGCAGGCCACAGTGGGCCTGGGGGCGACTTCCATCTGGACCACCATTTTTTTTTCTTGCTTAAAAACTCTAAGCAGCTCTTAGATACCTTTTTAAAAATGACAGAAAATGTGTGTCTCAGTGGCACTAATTGGTTGCAGTGACAAAGACAACTGGACAGAGAAAATTGCGTGTTTCAGGTGAAATAGGAGGAAAACTATCTGTTTCCAGAATTTCAATGTAAGCTCACGTGTTTAGTCTGCTTAGAGACGGTGTCTGCCATGAAGAATTTAAATTTGTCGCACTACAACATGTTGCACAAAGCTAAAAATAAGATGTTTACTGAGGTCACAAGAATATAAACAGAAATTTTTAACCAGAACCACAACCATGCAGGAGTCTGCACTCAAGGCATCTTATGCAATTGTACTTCAGCTCGATGAAGTGTTTAGTTTTTGTTTACTTCAAATGTTCTATTCATATTCATTAAAATCAAATGTACAACTGTTATACATGCATTTGAACATGAAAAATGTTAACTTACTAAGTTACCGCACTGTATGTTGATTTAATATACTGTATATATGCACTATGTGGCCCTCTGGCAGTGTCAACAAAAATCTTGGCATCCTTCCATCATTTAAGTTGCCCATCTCTAGTCTAGAATATCTTACTTTTTTTGTTACTCCCTGTTGTTGTTGTTGTTTGACATATCACCTCTCCTGTCAGCTTTGCTAAATGTTTTGCACTTCTGTGTCATGTGTGAAATGATCAGAGTTGAATGAGGGTTGAAGTTAAGCCACCACCATCTTGTCATTTAACCAGCAACAAGGATATTTCTAGAACCAAGTCAGTGAGCAGAGTAAAAATATTGACCCAACAAAGCTGTTGTCACTAATCTGTCAGTTGCCTGCCAGCCAAACAACAATATCATCTGTTTCCAACAAAACTGGAGACAAGGGAACTATTAAAAAAACAGTTAATATTGTGAGCAAGTAAGAACTTGAGATTTCTTCTACATTCTAGGGATCAAATTCACATTTGAATTGGTTTAAATAATAGTTTGAACTTGTGTTAAGAGGATACATCTCTTTTTTTATCTGTGTTCACATCTTAATAAATATTCCAGCAATAAAAATAAACAGAAGGATAACTATAAAACGGATCACTTTTCAAAACAGATAAATGCTTTGGCCAAAGCTCATCAACATAACGGAGCTAAAATTACACAGGTAACAAAATGAAATACTGGTACATGAAAGTGGTGGTCACATTGGCCTTGACTTAATGACATTTTTATTGACTTGTTACACTACACCCACTGATATATATTTTAAATACTATTCAACCATTGCTGCTACATGCTTTGAATTTGGTTCCAAACAATTAATAACAACACAGATGAAACTTTCTTTTAATCTGAAAACAAGCTGTTGTTGTACATATTGGTTCCAACTTTTTTTTGTAAAAGGGCTGAGTTAGAAAATCAGATGTTTTCTCAAGAAAAGGGTGAAGGACAAAGTTAATGGTTGTGAAATGCCTAATGYGTTATGGGTACTTTGGTGCATCTGTTGCGCGTGGTGACAAACTCCTGGCATGAGCGAGGACATGACACATACGTACACAAACTCTCACATTGAGGTGTCTTTCAAATGACTCAGCTCACATTTCCTCTATGCCATTCTCACTTGACTTCATTTGCCACGTTGGCCACAAAACGTGCCAGACATAACACTCTGGACTTTTAGAGAGTGGCGTAGACTGTGAAGATGAACAGATGGGGACGGCTTGCAGCCATCCTAAAAAAATATGGGGAGATAAGCAACACAGCTTTTGTGGAAATGACTTTTGGCTGAAATCAATAACTACTGGCAAAGCAGGAAGCCACTCTGTTACATGAGACAAGTGTCTGAACAAACATGATTGCCTGAGGCTACTTAGGATTAATTTGAAGCTCGTCAAGAGAGAAAGAGTCAAAGGACAAAAATAACAAGCGGCAGGTGGTGGATGGGGCAGCTGTTTATTTCACATGCTAAGTCAAAAATGTGTAAAGCTTATATTATTTTAGGGTTGCAGCAGATATGTGTGATTACATCCTAAAGCCAAGTATGATATATTGTCTGAGATACCTTCAAATTATCACTTCAAATACCAAAACATTTCTAAACTTTACATTTAACACATCAATTAAAAAATAGTGGTTTGAAAGATGCTGATCCAAATTACCCACTTGCTGCCTTATCGATGAGTTTAGTCATATTAACTGAATTGAAAATGTTAGATGTGTAGAAACTTTGTCTTCATGTGGAGGAAAAACTGAAGTTTTAGTTGAAAGTGTTGGATAAACTGTACAATCAGTTTGGAGTCATGTGCAGTCATATTTAGCCTTTTTTTTGTTCATTGTTTTTTTCAATTACACTGATTTAACAATAAACAAATGAAACACTTCATTTTTTAAAAATCAGATACTCTGTAAGGTACGATGAGAAAAACTTACTTTTCCATCTATTGTCACAGCAGCAAAGACAGTGGAGGAGTATGGGGCCCAAGCAACATCTCCAACTTGTGATTTCAGATCAAAGACCAAAATTGGAGTGCTGCAAAAAAATAAAATAAAATAAAATAAAATAATAAAATGACATGCGTGACTTATCTTGATATGAATTCAACACATCTGTGGTAAAAAACACAAACAACAACAACAATATCCTGGAGGCCACACAATAATTTACTCCAAAAAGAGCTGTAAATTAAGATTTAAGACATTTATTTGCTGTACAATGTTGTTAAAAASTAAAAGTTTTGTATATTTGAATGTAACAAATCACGTCTGAAAACAGCATCTTCCATGATGGCCAAATGATTACTATCATTATTCAGACAAGCTGCTTGGGCTGACAACATGTGGGTGGATCTGTGGATTAATAAAATGAGCCAGGAAAATTATGCTCGACCCAAGATGAGTATAGGAATGTAAAAAAGACTAACACACTGGAACGCTTTAACTGCTTAACTGAGTCAACTGGAATATCTGCATAGAAAGCATAGTGTTGCTACACTTACTGATTCAGCATTACATTGCAGGTGCTCTTTTGTGACAGAGTGAGTTTTAAGTGTCTTAGGTTTTCTGACAAACTAAGAGATTGTGGATAACCTAATAAGGCCAAAATATATAAATATTTTGAACTACAATAAATAAGCTATGTTAAGCATACTAAGCTTCACTACTCGTATAGCCTTAAACATGTTACTTGCCTCCACTCAGGATAAGATTTAACYTACAACCCCAAGTCTAATGAAGTTGGGACATTATGTYAAACCTAAATAAAAACAGAATWTGATGATTTGCAAATCCTTTTATACCTATATGCAGTTGAATACTCTACAAAGACAAGATATTTATGTTCAAATGGATACATTTTATTGCTTTTTTGCAAATATTTACACTATTTGAATTTGGTGCTTGTAGTAATTCGAAAAAAGCTGGGACAGGGTCATGTTTACCACTGTGTTACATCACCATACCTTTTAACACTCAATAAGTGTTTGGAACTGAGGACACTAATTGCTGAAGCTTTGTAGGTGGAATTCTTTCCCATTCGTGCTTGATGAACAACTTCAGCTACTCAACAGTCCGCAGTCTATGACGTATTTTGCACTTCATAATGCTCCACACATTTTCAATGGGAGACAAAACTGGACTGGACTGCAGGCAGGCCAGTCTTTTACCCGCACCCTTTTACTACGAAGCCACGCTGTTGTAACACGTGCAGAATGTGGCTTAGCATTGTCTTGCTGAAATAAGCAGGGGCGTCTCTGAAAATAATGTGACTTGGATGGCAGCATATGTTGCCCCAAAACCTGTATGTAGCTTTCAGCATTAATGGCGCCTTCACAGATGTGCAAGTTATCCATACATGAACACATACCCCCATAGGTATGCTCCCTTTATACCCAATTATGACACCAATCTGTTTAACCTGTGGAATGCTCAAAGTAGGTGTTTTTGAGCATTKCTTAACTTTTCCATTATTTTGTTGTGACCTGRAGTAAAGGATTTGCAAATCATAGTYTTCTGTTTTTATTTATGTTTTACAAAACATCCAAATTTCATTCTTAGCTGAGTAACAAGTACAAGATCCTCCATCAGCTTWGTAAATTGGGAAGCCCAGTTCAGCCAGTACTGACACAGATGAAACCTAGTTATTGTGAAGGCGGCCAAGTGTCACAGCACCAAAAAACAGCAATGTTTGTCATAAACTGATGTTTATATTTTTCTATAAATGGCAATATAAATACAGCTTTTTAGGTCTAATAAAAGTAAACTTAAAAGGGGTTTCAAATGTAAAAAGTACAAGGGTTATATTTATTGCTAAGTGATAACATGATAACCAAATCTGCCAATGTGAAAAGGTTCTCATTATTGCCACCATGACAGTCTTGACTCACCCAGGCATAAACGCCACCAGACTTCAAAAGGCCTGCTGTCATATCTCACATAAAGCTGTCAGCACAAGATCCCAATTTGGAGACCAAATCAGCACCTTAAACCAGTTATTTTCCTCAGGTCATTTATGAATTATTTTTACAGCATGACAAGATGCATTATCCTGTTGAAAAAAGCTGCTGCATTCAGGGAATGCACTAAACAGTGTATGCAAGTCAGTGGTGAGCCACRGTCCGGTATGTTTTAGTTGTACTTTTTAAGGTCCTTTTTCATGGGACGGTCTCTGGAAATGCTGTTTTTCAATGTTTATTGGGGCAAATAAAGAAAATAATCACCCTTTTACATGGAACCACTGCAGTGATTTGATGTTTTTGTTGAGGATTATTATTGTTTGACTTTATATTTGATGAAAAAAAGGGGGGAATATATTATAAGATTTTTTTCTACTCTCTACTACCTTTTGTTTCATTGTATTTGTATTTTATTTTTATTGTATAGGTATTATTAGTATACTAT